GAGAAGAGAGAAGAGGAGGAGGGGAGGGGAGAGGATAAAAGAAGAGGGGAAGGGGGGAATGGAGACAGAAATCATCGGCTCTATATGGCTCAATAGCTGGTGTTGACCTTGGTGTTTAGTTGAGTTCAACATTCATCAACAGTGTGACACGGCAGTCAGAAACTGAGAGGAACTTGGGTTATGTTAAGTAGGGAAATGCTAGCCCCTTTGTTCTCTGCCCTGGTCCCACTACATCTCATGTATTGTGTTCAGTTCCATGGGTCCTTCGGAAAAAGGTGATGCAGATACTTCCCCCAGAGAATAAAGGGAGACAGGTCAGAGTGATTGATGAAAGTTGATGTGTACAGGTCCTGACTCCAAAGGATTCTTGCCAACCCTCATGTTTAGGAGGAGCTGATCTGCTCATGATTGGTGCTTTCAAAGGTATCTGGGATTTGCTCACCTCAGGCCAGGGCATCTAGCTCCCTTCACCTACCTCAGTCTAAAAGTTCATGGTCCAAACACCTGTGGGCTAGTCAGCAACTTGGCTGTCTGGATTGTCCATCTGCTGAGAGTAGTCACATTTAGGGCTTTATTTCTCTGGGCGAGACAAAGAAAGAGGACCCAGGGATTGACAGGGAAACAGATGGATACATGTCTTCTTTTATCTTTCTTCTATGAATATGTCCGCATGGTTTGTTTATGCAGCACTATCTGGAATACTCTTCCAAACTCTTAAGAATTGGGTCCATATAGGGTGGCTGCTACTTCAGATTCTACAGTGTGATACATTTCTAATAGTGTAGCTCATGAGCCCCCATCAGTGTGATTCCTATTAGCAATCAGTCTGTAGATACAATTAGCTCTTTAAATAGAAATAATTAGCTTTTTTCATAATTAGCTCTTTAAATAGGTATTTACTTAGGTGGCACAATTGAAAAACAGCATCTACAAAATATTCCCTTCATATAAACCTGGGGTCTACTCTCCCACAAATACACTCAGTGTCCATGTGAGGAACGAGTACAAATTTAGGATTCACTGGCAATAGGGTACACACAACTCTATGTGGCTAGGGCAACTAACTGGTACTAATGGTGCTGAAGGGCTAGTAATTTCTCTTTTCTTCAAGTCCCCCCAAAGTTTATCCTTGGGTGCAGCATCTTTGCTAATTAGGTTGCTCAGCTGAGCTCCCAGAGCCTGCTTTTCTCTACAATGATTCCTGATTGCCAGGTCTGACTCTCTTAAGCCAGCTTTCATATCTGCTGCCAAGGGTCCCATTCCTTGAAGCTGCCTTCTCCCTCACATGCCTGCCTTTCCCTGTTCATGTCTGTTTGGAGTGTGTGACTCCATGGCCTCAGCTGTACCTTGAACCCTCCTAAATTGATGAACTCTTTAAATGCTGAGTGGAATGTCTCCCTCTTGTCAGACTGATCTTATGGTTACTTTCTGGGCTTTCTTGTCTGGAGGATTGCTCAAAGACCAAATTTCCTGTATATGCTATTTAATAAACACCATAGTTTTCCCCAGACAAATGTGGTCTTTGCATCTCTATTGCTTGATATCCTGAGCTTGGCAGCCACAGAGGGGAAATCAACAGCTTTGAGAAGAAGGATGACTAGGGAAGTGAGAGGGCTGGAAACCCTATCCTCTAAGAAAGCTGAGGATGTTCAGCCTGGAGAATGAGAGGAAAGAGGAGAGTAGAGAAGAAGACAAGAAGAGAGAGGAGAGGAAGAAAAATATTGTTCTTAGAATCTTCATTGTCAGAATTCTTTGAATATTAAATAA